TGAATTAGCTTAGAGCAGATTTTATTGTCCATGAAGTCCAGGAAGGAAAGACTCTACAGAAGAGTGCTCACAGAATGTGGCTCTCTTAACCAGAGTGCACAGGGAGGCAAACTAAAATAGCAGCCTTGCAGCCTGACTGGTAATTCGGAAAGTTGCTTCTAAATCCTGCTGGCCTCAGGTGAACTTATAAATCTCCGTGTGCTCCAGGAACTGTAGCTGTAACCCGTACACTACTTGCATACAATGCAGTTTTATCCTCAGAGCCTACAACTGAGCTGCTTTCCAAGGCCACGTTCAGGATAAGGAGGTGGGGGATAAGGGCAGAGCTGGATGGGCAGTGCGCAAAATAGCCACCAAACACAGGAACCAGCAAACACTGACCAACAGCACCAGTAATCCAATCTCCTGTCAGCCCTGCTCTGAAGAGCAACCAAAAGAGATCTCCCAGGTTGACTGGGTTGGGTCTGTAGGAAAGGAGAACATTTCCAGAATACTAGGTTCCTGAAAGACAGCCTATACTGCTAGGAAACTGTTCCGTTTCAGTGGTATCAAGTCCAGGGCCCAACCTAGAATGATTAACACAAGGCCGCCCTTCCCACATACCCTACTAGAGGGACTCACCACACAGAGGCACTGGTGAGCTACAAAGCCAACCCATGAGACCTCTCTGAGAATCTGGGCTTAAAAAGGCAGGGCCAGAGGCAGAACAATAATTAGCCCCTGCAAGCCCCAACAAGGCACCATTTTCTAGGAAATGTTCAGCCTCAGATCCCATGCCCCAGTTAGATTAACACTGAGTTAGGGTGACAGAAATCACACAGGGGCAGACACAGTGGTTCCTTAGGCAATGGCCATTCCCTCCTTGTCCTGAACTTTGTTCAGGTGGTACGGTGAAGAGGAATAGACTCCACCAACCATGGTGAGCCCATTTCCCTTGCTGGTGACTGATACAACTTTTGGCATGAAGAAGAGCCAGCCCTTTCTCACTACAACCCTGTCTGTGAGGCCCTGCTTGAGTGAGAGGACAGACAAGAGTACAGAAATCAACTCAGAATTCTGACACTTACATCCCCTTCATTCTGACCCCATCTCAGAATTTCCTGTCATATAAAACAGCATTTCCTTATTATTAAAGCTGTTTCAGTTGAGAGTTTTGTAGTTGTGAGCAAGCCTACAATTATCGTAACGTGGAAGCTCCCTTCACACATTTCCTGAGTGGCCACTGGCTGAACCTGGGAGGTAGGAGGGTCAACATTATTCCTCTCCTGGGCCCCTGCTACCTGCTACCTACTACCTACTACCTGTACTCAAGAAGCCACGGAACTAGGCCAAGATAGTCCAATCCTAAAAGGAGGGAATTCTAGATAACCATCATATAAAGTATCTTGCAAATAACTTGTCATCCTTCAATCTAGGTTTTTCTTTCATAGTACCCAGGGTAGGCATTCCTCAAGTACTGATTGACTAAGAGGAAAGCACCTATGGGAGAACTGGTAAAAGAATTGCATTCAATTAATTTTGCCCTTGAATGTACAGGGGACTTCTAAGACTTCCTGGAAACTGGTATATAACATGCTTAGAGTTTTGAAAAAATTTCATTTTAAAGTATGTGCTAATTCATGGGACTGTTCATTCCCCATTTTAGAGTGAAAATATTGAGATAAGGTATAAAGAAATAAATACGATAAATAAAAATCAACATTCTTGTTTTGCTTTTAGAAAAAAAAATTTAAGACATGCTATATCAAAAACAATCCATTTCCTATTTAGTATAAGATCTATTAAGCTGGTAGCTTATCTGTTATTTAATTACAGTTTTATATTTGTTTTAAACTAACATAGTAATAAGGTTTTCTTACTTTTATTTCTTATCTTCCTTCCAATTTTACCACTTCTACATAAAAACAAATTAGAGAAAAATGACAGTAGTAATGAATACATTATGGATAGACCAAGGGTTTGTAAAGAAATCATCATAAAATCCAAATGAAAAGTGATTCACAAAAAATTAAATTTATGAACAAGGAGAATTTTTAGAACTGAAGGTATAGGGAATAGAAATAACAGAACTATGTTTCTTCTTGATCAAAAATGGCGAAAACAGATAATCCTTTCAGCAGCACATAATCTAAAATTGAAATGATCGTTTTCTCTCATATGCAGAAGACAAAGTAATATAAGGAGGGGGAAAGGTGGGAAACCTATGGAAATAGAAGAGAGATGATCAGTGGAGTAGAAAAAGGAGATTGAGGGAGAGGGAGGAGGGATGGGGAAGGAGAACTGCAGAATGAAATTAACTTTATATTGTGAACGTAACACAGTGAATTCTACTTTTTTATATACATATTTATAAAGCACCAATTAAAAAAAACAAATATTGAGCTTTGTCTCAGGAAACCATGCCTCACTTTCTTCCTCCTCACTGAACTTCCTACACCAAGAGCTCATAGTCTTCCCTAGAAACCAGAACAGTTGCAAGGTCCACAGAACTCAAAAATAGGAGAAGACTAGCAGAGTACAGAAAGGGTCTGGGGGAGGGAAAAAGAAAGTACTAGGGACTAAAATGGAGCCAATTTTATTCCATGCATGTATGATTATGTCAAAATGAAGCCTACTATTATGTATAACTATAATATACTAATAAAAACATTTTTTAAATGGTGAAAATGAAACTGGACAATTCACAGCCTAAATCTATAACCTTCCTTAATATACTGGTTTTTATCCTAATCCATTTATTTATTAACACCTTAAAAATTCATCTCTATAACTGTTGCAAAGCATAAGAGAATCAACATAAGGCTCACTTTAATGAACCGAGAACCTCCAGGAAGGACACAGTAACAACTAGCTGGAAATAGTATTCACTTTCCAAAAACCTCTGGCTTAATCTCTAGCTTTTTTTTTTTCCCCTGTCTTCCAAATTTTTCTGGCTGCCCACTCATTCTCTGGGCCTTGCTAATCACTAATTCCATTAGCCCCATTCCATTTCCAAGTGTCCTTGGATAACCTTGCTCTTGAATAACCAATCAAGCAAGATTTTGACAATCTCTCTCAGTTATTCTCATTCATAGTGTCAGGTCTCATAACTAGCCTTAGTTTTTGTAGTTTCAACTGGGTGATTACTAAACCTGAGCATGTCAGAACATGTCTACACATATTTTAAAACAATGTAAATAAAACATCATACTTGAAAGCTATATGAATAACATGCATATATAGATACATTGATTATTCTTGATTTCGTCTCTGGATGATTCTACCCAGAGTCATGCCATTGGTTCCAATTAAACAAGTCCAACGTGAAATTCCTAATGATTCCTCTACAACTCAGGTTTTTCTTCTAAACCCCATGCCAGTTTTATCAGTGAGACTGAAATCTGAGTTAACTTCACAGTTTTTCCTCTTTTAATTCCTCTTCTTCAATGAGTGATTAAGTCATATGCTTTTCTTTCCAAATGACCTGTCTATCCCTCTGTGGCCACAATCACATCATTCCAGTCCAAGTGTTCTACCTGCCTTGTTTCTAGCTAGTTCTTCTAACAGTCTTCCTGTGATCCTCTAGAGGCCAAGATTTCTGAACTCTATTGTGAAGTCCCAATAAATCTTACAGCTATAAGAGCAACCATTATTGAGCATTTGTTCCATGCCATTTAGCCCTGTGCTAATGACTTACAATAATGATCTCCCCTCATCTTCACAGCAATCCAACGAGGTAATGTTATTCTCCTTATAATATACAAGAAGTACACCATGAGGAGTTTAAATGGACTTCCCAGGTCCCAGAGCAAGCAAGGGATGGCACCAGGCTTCACACCTGTGTTCTTAATTCCTACCCCACTCTGACTTCATGCCAGCTCTCAGAAGCTTCATGGTGCGGTTTTCTACCTGCACGTGTCTACATTCTTAGCTCACATGGCACTGCATTGTTTTCATTCGTCCTGCCTACCCACTCGATGCTCCAGCACCCCTTGACACCTTCCTCTTGTGGCCAGACAGGCTCCTTCCATCCCGGAAGATCCCATGTTCGCTTTCAGCTGGGTGCCTTTGTTGGAATTCTCCCTTCTTCTAAACTGGATTCTCTTCCCTCACCCCTTTACTTTTTCACTAGTTCACGGTCAAGTCCAGCTTCCTTTATGAAGCCTTGTCTCAGGAGGCCATGCCTCACTCTTCTTCCTCCTCACTGAACTTCCTAGCCCAAGAACATATCACCTTTCCCAAAACCCAGAACGGTTACAAGGTCCACAGAACTCAAAAAATGCTTGCAGACACGAGGCCCTAATGTTACCAGTATCTCAACAGTGCTTCCTCGGGCGAAACACGATGCTTCAGGTGGGGTCTCTTTACCTCATATATTAGGAACATAATTTGTTGGGCCAATTGCTTCTTTGAAAGGCTTTCCCCTGTCACTTCACCAAGAAAATGTGAATTGTAGTGGGAAGCCATCTCTTACCTAAAAGTCTGTTATCAATGAAGTTGTCTGCTATGAGTAAGTACTGTGATTTTTTTTTTTTTTTTTTTTTTTTTTTTTGTTGTTGTTGTTGTTATTGGTTTGTTTCTGATACTGGGGATTGAAGCTAGGGGTGCTTTACCACTGAGCTACAGCCAGAGCTCCTTTAAATTTTTATTTTGACACAGGTTCTCTCACTAAGTTGCTTAGAGTCTCATTAACTTGCTGAGGCTGGACTCAAACCTGCCATCCTTCTGCCTCCGTCTCCCACGTCACTGGGATTATAGGCATGCACCTCTATGCCTGGATTCAAGTGTTAGTATCTATGTCACTGGCACTCTTAATGATGAAACTGAAATTTACAACACCGCTTTTACTGGCAATATTGAAATCTGTGATATGGGGCTTATTGGGTGAAGATCCTCAGTTACCTCAATCTGTTAATGGAGTATCTCTAAAATTTTGGTAGACCTGGTGCAGAATAGTCTTGTGGAAGTGCTAGAGAGAACATTCTTCTACATACTGGATCTGAAAAAGACCACGATGCTGAAATATGCCACAGTGTATTTCTCAATGCTGCTACACAGGTTTGGTGTTGAAAATGGATGGTATTCTCCATGGTCATGTTATTACAAAACTTAACATGATCAACTTTATCCAAACATGACAACTTAAAATACAAATAAAAATGCTTTCTGGGTGCTGTTCAGTATCTGTCTGTTCATTTTAAACACAAAACATCACTTTTTCTAAAAACTATAGCACTGTGACAGGTGACTTCTTGCTGCTCCGATAGAGGTCACAAGCCTGGCCCTCACTGACATCTGGGAAGAGTCTGTCCCAATTGAGATGGACAACTCAGAGCATACGACATTCTTCTTGATAGATTATAGATAAGCTGTGTTGACTTTCCTGTTCATTGTCCTGAGGTGATGGTTTCTACATGTGAGTCTAAGACTTTCTTCAGTAGGTTGTGACATGAACACCAGGAATTTGCATCATCCATCAGCTCTATAGATGACTCAAATGCTGACGTTTCAGGGAACCACACTTTGAAAAACACCGTCCCTTGGAGCCAGCTTAGTCAGAATTACAATTGAGTAATTTAATATGCCTGCATCCCCTATTAAAGTTGATCTCAACCATGGCTGCAAATCAGAATCACACAGAGATCTTCAGAAAAAGGTTAGGTGCCCAAGTTTCACTCTTAAGTTTAAAAAATTCCAATACAGTAGACCTCATTCATGATGGCCAGGGTTTGTGCACTGCTGGATTTGTGCCTGAATGGTACAAGAACAACCTCTCAAATATCACTCCCATGGTGTAACTTGTAGGTTTCAAAAAAGAGGGTTTAGTCCTAACACGTACAAAGCAGTTATTTTATCACTGTGATTGTTACTACTGTTCAAATATATCAGGTAATTTTTATAATGAGATGCACTCTTACCTACATGATTTTGTTTGATCTTCACAAAAATCTTTTGAGGTGGTGGTGATGATGATGATGATGATGGTCATCATCATCATCATCATCTCATTCTATAGATGAGGACACTGAAGCTTGGGGAAGCCATGGTACCCAAGGGCCGTGACAGAATCTAAATCCAGGTCTAATGACTCAAAAACCATATTTAAAAAAAAAATTGTAACCTCATACTCCCAAACAGACCTCCTGCTTCCACATCCTGCTTTATTTTTCCCTTATCATCATTAATCATACCTCTTTGTTTTACTGATTGGATTACTGCTGCCTTGAGTAGACAGAAAGTATCATGAGGGCAGGAATTTTACTTATTTTGTACACAAATGATTCCCTATCATTTAATGTAGTGCCTGGTAGTACCTGGCACAGAATAAGTGCTCAATAAACACCTGCTGAGTGACTATGTACAAGAATGTAGTTTCAAGAAAATTATAAGGTATTTTGGAAAGCAATTACCAAAGAGTACTATTAAAAATGAACTATTTTCCCCAAGAGTACTATTAAAAATGAACTACTTTTCCCCAAGACTTCTCTCATATTTGTGGTTTATCTTGTGTACTGGTTAGGTCCTGAAAAGATTCTATTAACAAAAATAGTAGGATGATTTGTACATGCATCATAATTGATGAAATCAAGTAGCAGAAAGGGTTGTCCATATTATTACTAAGAGCAGAAATGAGAGTGCTTAAGGTCCTTCTGATAACAAATGAACACAGTCCATTTCATTCTGTGCACACACACTGAGGCAGTGGCTAACCGGAGACTTAGCAGTCACTTAGATAACCAAACAGCTAGATGTAATGATAACTCTAATGTACCAGTGTAAGAACAAAAGTGGCATGATTCTGAAAGGTTTCCAAGAATTAAGAGATGCACCATTTACAACATATATTTCAAGTATTAGTTCTTTGATACATAATTTACAGCATGAATTTAAAAATCAGAGAAATAGTCCAGTTTTGAGTACACTCCAAATGGTTATGCCATCTACAATAAAAATCCAAATAGTTCAATTATTTTTATTAGCTGAGCAAAATTCATAACCCAAATGTAACAAACTATATTATACAGAATATATTTATGGCAAGACAAATAGAGGCAAGCTGTTTCTTCTTAACACAGACAATTGCTGGAATAGGTAAATACTAGAAGGAAGTAAAGTCTTTCATGACTAATGCTCTTATCTTAATAATTGCGTAATTTACCTTGTCATCAGGAAGCACGTGCCAAATAGATATTGTCTTTTGCTCCACTTCATTGTTGATAGATAAGTACGAAGGCTGATAGATTTTGGTTGGTTCTAATATTAATACCTCGGGAAGATAAAGGAAAGGAACTCAAATCAGTGACTGAAGATTTAAACCTCTGGGAGCTGCTACAACCACCCAGCACCAGCGTGGGAGATGATAGGCTGAGGCTGTGGATCCCGGCTGGAGAAACCCATTTAACTTCTGATGAGTCCTATGACTCCTCTCAGCATTGAATGATATTATACAATTATCATAAGGTCAACAATATATCACCTCTTACTGCTAATGAACTTAGAAATAAAATTTTAAAATCCAAACATTAGTCCAAACTACTAATGATATATATTTAAAAGCTTATACTTGGTCGTGCAATACATAAGCTAGTTCTATAAATACAAATGTGTCAAAGAAAGGCAGAAACATGGTAAAGCAATTCTGTGCACAGAAAAATTCCATACATAGAATGTCCCATACTTATTTTAGGTTTTCTGCTGTCACGTTTTATCATAAAGAGGTAGTAGTATGGTTTTCATGTCCACGTAAAAGGATCCAGGAATAATTTTGGTTATTGTTGAAAGTTTTATATATAAACCCCAAAAACAGACATAACTGCCTAAAGTAATAAAAATGTGTTTGCACTGACTTCAAGATAAAACTGGCAACTCCAATAATGATATATTTAGCCTTGTGAGAGAAAAAGACAAAATTTGCTCCTGTTTTGGAGATTTACAAAGGGTATATGATAAGTTGAGAATCTGTATCAAAGGTCTGCATGAAGTTATTACATTATTACTAGTTTCTCACACCAGAAAAGAACATTAACTACCATACATGCCCTGGCTTCAGAGCTACTGTAATAATTCTTACCTATTCACACAGAAGCTTTAAAGACCCACATTTTTAACACAGATTTCAGTAAGAGTATTTTTTAAAAAAAAAAAAAGAAAAGAAAAGAAAAGCCAGTATTTCACTATAGAAAAACTGTGATTAGCTCTTTGTATTCCACTGCTTAAAACACAAGAAAATTACTTTTAGAACTACTCTTGAATCAAGCAAGTTTACCAAATAAAAGTGAAAGAGAAAGCTTATTTAGGGCTTCATCACAAAAAATTACAGACTCACGATACATTAAAACATAAAATGCAGCCTGGGCAAGAAAGCACAAAATCTGGGTCAGAAAACTGGTCCTCGGCACATAGCGTGAACTCGGTGTACTCATTTTACTCTAAATTTATCACTCCCATACATTTAGGTAAGTTAATGTACAGAGAAGTAGAGAAAGGGCCCTAGAAAAAAAACAAAATTTTCTTTACTCTTTGAGTATAAAAAATTTTCAGAGCTCAAATTCTTGGTCAGGCTGTCGCTGTGAAAACAAGACAGGCCATACCACAAATAAACCCACACTGAGCGCCCACGGCAGGACAAACTGACTCAGGAACACACTCACTCACTAGGTGAGTCAAGGCCCTAATTCCAGTCAAGTGAGTTAAGGGAGCCATTGATTAATACTGAAAATCAATTTTAAATCTAAGCACTGCAGAAATGGTGTTTTCACATCTGAGGAGCCAAGTGTTTATTAAATTACAACAAATAGTAGAAAATTAAGAAATGGATTTCCCAAAACATGATCCAAGTCTCCTTCCTGACAAATCAGAATAGATCTTATTTCCTAATTCTGTGAGCACACTAGTTAGCCACAGAAAAGCACAGTCCCAGATTGACTCCTTTCTGGTTAAATTACGTCTTTATTGTCACCTCAAATATTCCTAATAGATGAACTCTGAACTATGTCTTCCTAACTTGGGACAGGGAATAAAAGTAGGGCTACATTTATCACTGTCTAACATCTGTTGAGCCCTTGATCTACCCTTGAAATGACAAAGTGTAAGGAATGTGTAGCATATATTACAGAGGGCACAGAAAGGCTGAGGAAAGATAAGGAAAAGGAGGCTGCTTGACAAAGCCATAGAGCTAGACACAACTTGCTTACAGCATACATAATACTCTTGTATTCGATTTGTTGTCTTCTATATGGGTCAACATTATAATTTACTGCTAACTTCACGTGCATCTCTGTAGCTGAAAAGAAGAGGGCACCGCTTATAAACTACAGAGAAGAACATTAAGTAGGGTTATATGTCAGAATTCCTGCGGTCTCACAAAGACCACTCCCCTCCTCTTCCTCTCTCCTGACATTAGGTTCAGGGTCTCCAAACTTTTCAATGTGAGAAGGAAGGAAAAAGATGGCTAAGGAAAAGGAATAGCTGAAACAGAATCCAAATAATAACAAAGGGTAGGGCCATTCAAATCATTTGCAAATAAACTGTCATTTTCTTATGCACAGGGTCACAGTTAACTTCTTGGAGGATTGAGACCGGATTATGATAATGAGATAAACAAGAAATAGACACAGTAAATGTTTTCTCATATAGGACAACCTAGGTTTTAATCAGATCCATTTTCAAAAGAAGAATAAAGTTATCCTCCCATTCAAGTCTCAAGACTATGCAGCCTTGAGAGGTGTGAACCACAGAGCAGAATGCTACTCACAAAACACACGGCCAATACAGAAACATAGTAGAGGCTCCTTTCTCTACGCAGTGAACACAGATGGCAAATTCCAGAAGTAGTCACAAATGACTACCCAAATATTGGTCCTATTTTTCCACTATATTATCAACCATATTGAGTTGTTGTTGTTTTTTTTTTTTTTAAAAAAAACCCTCCATGCTTTCATTATTTTTTTAAAAATACCTTTGCAGTGATTAATCAATTTCTATTGACTCAGGAACTTCTGGGGAGACTTACATTTTCTGGAATTCACAAAACATGAACTATAAGAAAACTCAGCAACTTGTTTGGAAATATTCCTGTTATGATGCATATGAGGTTGCCCCATCTTCTGTATAAAGCAAATTTGATCTCTTTTTAAGTTCCTTTGCTTTATAGTTATGATGGCACTTTTAAAAAGATACTACATTATTCCGTGTCTTTAAAAAACGCTTAAAATATGACCTACATAGAGAACATTGCAAATGGTTAAAAACAAAGTCATATGAAAATATTATGCCCTAAAAGAATTCTTCATGTCACAAATGTTTTACTTTGATGATGTGCCTTTGATTTAATTTGGGATGCTTTTAGAAGGATACTTGGTGTTTGGTGTCCATAATAATCTTTGAAGACCTTAGAAATAAATTCTACTTAATTTATAAAAAAGGAAAAAAAGAAAGCTCAACTTCACAAGAGCTAGAAGACAGTTTTGCACTCTGTATAACAACCAATTATAGGAAAGCAATTTTTAAAACATAAGTTATGATCTCAAATGTCATAGAAATGAGTAGAAAACACTGCATTTTAGAGTCTTTTCACTAAAACATAGCCCCCAAATAAACCACTAAGTTCCAAGAAGGAAATGGATTGCTGGAAAAAACCAAATGATATTTCATAAGTGAATACAAGATAAAATGACAAATACCTTTGTACCGCCCACCCACAGGTAACAAAATGTTAATGTGCTGCCATATTTGCTTCAAAACTTTTCTTAAAGAAATAAAATTCTACAGAAAGAGTTGAAGTCCCCATTGTCCTTTATATGATGCTATTATCCCCCTCATACAAGATTTCCAAAAGCACTTAATTCTTTCTGCCCACCAGCCATCTCTAAAAATGCTCATGCCCCACACCTTTCCAATTTTTAATTATATGAGTTCAATAGGGAAAAAATGATCTCATTTTTACTTTCTTGACTATCCTCTATGGTAAATTATTATTTTCATATAATTTGCCCATTTTTCTTCTTTCTTTCTTACCATTTGCAGTTTTTGTTTTACTTAGGCAAACTGACTATTTTACAGAATTTGTATTAAATATTTTCTCCCTATTGAGTAGTTTTCTATTTGATTTGTTCATGAGTTTTTTTGCTGAACAAAATTTTCCTTTTTTTTTAACTTTTAATTTTTTGGCATTGTTGGGGATTGAACCTAGAACCTCAGTCAGGTTAGGCAAATGCTCTACCACAGAGCTACATACTCAGGCCATCTAATTTTGGGGGGGCAAGGAGGTGCCAAGAATTGAACTAGGGGGTACTCAACCACTGAGCCAAATTCCCAGCCCTATTTTTTATTTTATTTAGAGACAAGGTCTCACTGAGTTGCTTAGTGCCTCACTTTTGCTGAGGCTGGTTTTGAACCTGCAATCCTCCTGTCTCAGTTTCCCAAGATGCTGGGATTCAAGGCATGGGCGCCATTTTTTAATAAAATTGAATTGGTGCATATTTTCCTTTGGGACTTAATTGGTCTTTTCTTACCTAATCCATTCATACTTACAATTTCCTAACTTCTCACTTAATATTTTCTGTGTTTTACTGTTTTTTTACATTCACTTATTTACATTACAACAGACTAATTCACACTGAACTAATTTAAGTTAGTTGGCAACAGCTAATATGAATGAGTTCCTTTCATGGCCAGTTTTCTAGCTGATCAAGTCCACAGTCAATTAAAGGCTGAGTTGTGTGCTGTCTTCTTTCACCACCATTTTTATTGACACTCAAAGCACCAGTGAAAGGCAAGCTGCCAGCTCACCCTAAGATAAGGATTTTCCTCGGTTGCACATTATCTAGACTAGAAAATGAGCTGAAGTGTTTTAGTTTAAAAGCCTTTTCAACGAAGGAGCCTGCTGAGCTCAAGGCTTTCTGTGGAAGACAGAGTAAAGAATGTTAATACCCACAATGGATTTAATTAAATGAAGCAGATGATCCTATCAACAAAACCAAGGTTTTTACAGGAAGAATTGAGAACTGTCACCAGACTGAGATTAGAGAGCTCAAACCTGAAAGATTTATGCCATCACTTTGACATGGGAAGAAATTGATACACATAGTGAGTTGTCATAATTCCCAAAATGATTGCCAAATCCAAATTGCTCTGGATGGTATTCTGCAAGCTATCAGGGTAGATAGGAATGGCACCAGCTGAAAAGATGACAAATACATCTAAAAATGTTATGTGTGTGTTTGTGTGCATATGTGCATAAAAGATATATTTATAATACATATATAAATGTATAACACACATTTATATATAAAGTCAGCTAGAGACCAGCTAAAATGAGTTGTAGATCCAAAAGAAGTCATCACTTCCCATGGTCAAAGCATCATAAACAGTGACTGGGGATCCTACCTGGGGTTTCTCTGACTCATGTGTAATTCTGACCCAGTTGGGTAAAAAAAAAGTGGTAGAGATGATAATCTAAACAAGACAGTTGAGCCGGATCATTTCCACCATACTAATGGTGATAAAGCTGAAGACAATGTCAACAAAACTGGACTATTTAATAACAGCATCCACCCACCGGGCTGGAGCTGCCTTGCCTTGCTGAGCTAAGAGGCCATCTTTTCACTGTTTTGCAAGTATACTTAAGGGACCACCCAAATTCTATGATAAAAATACAAATGTATCTCATTTCTCTAATTTAGAGAAGTTATTTTAAAAAGTAAGGTAAAGCAAGCCAGATATCAGAAAATATATATGTGAGCAAGGTGACAGCAGTCTTAGGGCATGAAAACCAGTATGCCATTACTATTATAATCAGAATGCAAGATGATCAAGAAACAACACAGAATAAAACTTGGATTTAAATAAAGGGTACTCACTGGAAACCTAACTACAGTAACATCTGTTTTTGTGGCTTCAACCAGGAAATCCATCCAGAAGTCTACAAGTTCCTGCTTGGCTACAGGCTGTTCCGTGGTCAGCTTCACAAAATGTTTATATATCAAAATGGTCTCTACAATAGACTTGAGGTACCTGAGAGTTAAAATATATAAAGCATATCACTTGCAAATTTAGAATCACCTGTTTCCACGTATCCTGGTTTTACTCTGTAACCACAATATATATGACATTTATAATTATGCATTCAGATTCATCTAACATTACTCTTTGTTACATATCACATACTTTCACATATTGTCTCATTTAAATCTCAAAAAAATTCAATAACATGGGCTTTTATCTGCATTTCAGAGATGAGGAAACTGAGGCTTAGAAGGCTTAAATAAATTGAACTGGGGGCATACATTTACTTAAAACACAAATTTTTTAAATACGTATATTCTATTCAAGGACAAGGTGAATGCTTCTTTGAAGAACATTTCCAAAACAGACTACTCATAACAGATTATTTTGCCTCAAAGCAATTGAGCTTCTATATCGTACAAATATTCTCATCTAAGAGAGATACTGCCTCAAAAGAAAAGGTTAGGAAAAATAAGGAAC